ACCAATGTCAGTTGAGTTTATTGAAGTAGTAGGTGTCTAATAATTTTTTTAACATGGCCAGTGTTCCACTATGAGCAAAGAAAGGGATACTACAAAAAATGGAAGGGCTTGTGTTTGGGGAGCTTACACAGTAGTTGGGAATATAAGATAAATTAAAGGGAGATAATTAGAGAAAAAAGCCACATAAGTGGTAGAGGAAATCAAGAATAAGAGATGATATGGGTCTTCAGCTGGGAGGGAGGGAGGCAGGCCATTTTGGGCAAGGGGTACACAAAAAGAAAACTAGGAATATTCGTGGAGTATATTGGCAATAGGAGAATGACTAGATAGAAACCCAGGGTACTGTATTAAGCAATAAAGAAGATGTGACATATAAGACTGGGGCCAGCCAACTGAGGAAGACTCTTGTAGCTCTAAATTTTTTTTTTTTGTTTTTTGTCTGTTCCCATGCTCTCTGCCTCTCCTGGGAATGAGAAAGTTTCAACTCCACACTTTCTCTTCTTCCCTCTTGAGGTTTTTTTTTTTATCACCTGAAACTAAAATATGAACCATGAGACCTTTTACTTTCCTAAGACTACACTCAACCCAAGCACTGGAGTAATCTTAATAAGTGAAGATCTAATTTCTTCTTTAATTCAGTAGAAATCTTCAAGAAAATGGAAAATTACTTTTGATCTTATAAATATAGGATAAGAAAAAGTGAAACTCAATGGACCAAAGAAAACTAGGTTTGAGTGTAATCATTTAACGTCTGTGTTTATTAAGTAGCTACCATGTGCCTCTAAGTAATGTGCTAGGATAGGGAAAGTAATCAGAGGCTCATAGGCTTTAGAGTTGGAAAAGAAAGAGTCTAACCCCCAGTCTCAGAGGGGTCAAATAACTTCTGCAAAGTCACACAAAGTGGTTAGTAGCAAACCTAAATCTTCTAACTCCAAACCCATTGTTCTTCGTTCTATGCCAGGAGGGAAATGACACTCAAATCAATCTTCCTCACTTTTTCTAGGTCCAATAAAAGGTTTCCTTTACTAGAGGTTTGGCATTGTCTGTGGAGTTCCCTCATCCATGTTAGTCATAGCCACTATGACCATTGAAAATCCAGAATTTCTATTGTATTTTTTCTTTTTAGGCAATTGGGGTTAAGTGACTTGCCCAGGGTCACACAGTCAGTAAGTGTCAAGTGTTTAGTCTGAGGTCACATTTGAACTCAGGTCCTCCTGACTTCAGGGCCAGTGCTCTATCCACTGTGCCACCTAGCGCCCCTGAAAACAATAATCTTGAGAGAGCTATAGCGAAATATGTATAAAAAGCTTCTGAGAATTTCTTGTATTGCCAGTTTCCCAAAAATGGAAGCCCTAGCTGGAATTCACTTATGGGAAAAGGGTGAGGGCAAGGTGGAGTGATATTCCAGAGTGAGAGGCTCCAAGCACTGAAGCACTTTCTAGGACAAGAAGACAGTTGAGTCATGGTGGAAAAGTCCAGAGTCAGAAGCATAGCTGACTAGAAGCACTAAATTCACCGTTTGAGTTGCTGTCTGACCCAAGAAGAGTATAGTTGGGACTTTGACTTCCCTAGTCATGTCACTGTGCCTAGGGCATATGGAGTGTTCAGGGAGGAGTAGCACTTCTGGTGTGAGGCTGGCTGAGCCCTTTTCAGGGCTGCTCATCCACCTTTGGTGTCCACCCGCCAGCCGATTCTTACCTGGGGCTCCAAAAAGTTTTAGCATGTGCAGCAGCCACACCCTGGTAAAACCATCTTGGCAGACAAGCTAAACCAGATGAGGGTAACTGACAGGCCTCAAACCTATCGGTGAATTAGGGAGCTGTCTACCCCACGCATGGGAAGACTTCCCCCAGTGGAATGGGCAGATGAGAGTAATTTGTTCCAGTGGCCACAAAGGCAGCTGAAGCAGGTGCTGTGGATCGCTTAGAGCTTGGTGAGATATCAAAGACACTAACCTCACTCACTGCATCCCAGGTCATCACTAGTCATGACTTTTGGCTTGCCCCTGGACTTGGATGATTCTGGAAGAGTGAGGTCGACGACTTTTTACAACTCTGCCTCTCTTAAATCTAATTCACACACATGTCAAGACATCACATATGATGTCATTGGTCCTCTTCAAAAACAAAGGTGGAACAACAAAACTACCTGTTTATTTTCTAATGAACAAACAGGGGGCAGGCACTTTTCTGAAATTCTGGCTGGAGGAATTACAAATGAAATGCATAGTGAAGAAGGCCAACAGAACCGCAAGACTGGAAAAAAGAAGCTAGACTTGTTAGCAAGAGCTAAGAGTCATGTATGCACCATTTTTCCATATAGCTGTTTTTTTTTTCATATAGTTGAGGGAGTAAAAGAAGACACACAGAAGGTACCCAATGTAGAGGATTTCCAGGTTGACATGAACCAGAGTCCAACAGGGTGGGAAGGCATGGGCAGGATGGATTCTGCTTTGTAGGATGGTATGCTCATATTCACTAGATCACAGATCCATGGAAGGTTCTAAATGGGTGCCCTACCTAATTAGCTCAAATATAGAAAATGCTTCATCGGGAGTCAACCTAGTCTAGGCATTCTTAACCTTTTCGCTTATTTGTTTGTTTCATGGGCCCTTTTGGCAATCTAGTGAAGCCTATGGACCCTTTCTCAGAATAATGCTTTTAAATTCATAAAATAAAATACATGGGATTACAAAGGAAACCAATTATACTGAAATATAGTTATCCAAATATTTTTTAGAGTTCACTGACCTCAGGTTAAGAGCTTCTGATCTTGTCCAAATCTGTATTTTTAATTATTAATTTTTAAAGAAAATTGCACTTTATTATCCTTCCTTTCCTCCTCCTCCCCTCCCCATCCTGCCCAGTACATGTTGAACACTTTGAGGAAGAGCCTGGTTTTCCTTTTCCCTTCATAGCCTCATCACCTAGCATGATGCCTGGCACAACAGTAGGTGCTTAATAAATGCTTATTCAGTTGGATTAGATTGGAAAATCCCCACATGGTATTTCTATCTCTGAGCTAGCTAGCTATATTTTCCTGGCCAAGTGACTCCACCTCTGTTTCCTGACCTGTAAAAGGAAGGAGCTCTCAGTTCCCTTTTGGCTCTAAACGTGATGAGCTCAAGATTCTTTTTTCTAATTTCAAACCCCCAAGTAGCCAGTGACAGGAGCCTGGATGAGCCACAAATGTCAAAACTGTAAAAGGACAAGGAAAACCTCACTCAATTTCACGTAGCTAAAGGGAAGGTGTGAGACAGAATGAGGGAAGGCCATTTTGTACTCCCACCAAAAATGCCTACAGGAGCCTTTTTCTTTCTGATTCTGTCATGTCAGGCTCCATTATGTTGTCATAAGAATTCACCCTTCTCAATCTTAAGACTCATAAATATTTCTACCCACCATATAATTAAAAGATCAAATTCACGGAAGTAGTAGGAAAAGTGTACCTGCTTAGCAAGGTCCAGGACTACGTGATAATCCCGATTTAAAAAAAAAAAAAAAAGATGGGTAAATAAGAGAACTGGCTTCATGCTGAAGAAAAAAATTTTAAAAACAAACAGAAAAAGTGATAGTGCCTTTACTGAGAGATTTTATAAAACTCCATCGTCTTAAGTGTAGGAGATATAGATCCCACTAGAAAGTTACCCAGAGAAACAAAACAAGAATGATAAGGAGGATAAAGAAATGCTTCAGCAAAACAGACAGGAGTGGAGCAATACAGACTTCAGTGCTGTGTTAGCCCCAGGACTGCAGGCTGTGCAGGATGAATCAGGCCCAAATATGCAGAGACAGCATGGATAGCAAGGTTACCATCTCGTGACCTCGGTGCAGGAACAAAGGAAATAATCTCCTTCCTTCAAAGTCCTTACATTCTATAGAAGTGATCGATCTATCAGTCCGTATCCATATCTTACATTCTATAGGAAAACTTATCTATCTAAATAGATACAGAGATATAGATAGACAATAGATTTAGATAGATTAGACAGGTAGATCATCTCCCATATACATACATATACACATATACACATATACACATGCATATGCATATATGTGTGTATATATAAATACATGCAACCACATATACGTGTGTGTGTGTGTGTGTGTGTACAAGGCAATTTGAGGGAATAGCATTAGCAATTCAGGGGATGAGGAAAACTTCATGTAGAAGGTGGTACTTGATCTAAGTTTTGAAAAGAAAAAAACAAACAACCAAAAACAAAAGAGAGCTAAATGTGAGACCAAAAGGATGTTAAATTGGAGGTTAAAAGACTTTAGTGGACAGAGCACTGGACTTGGAGTCAGGAAGGGCTGAGTTCAAATCTTGCATCAAGACTCTTACCTGCTGTGTGATCCTAAGCAAATCACTTCTCTCTGCTTCACTTCCTCACTTGTACAATGGAGATACCTAACTCACAGGGTTGTTGGCATACAGTAGTCACTTAATAAATGCTTATTGACTGAGCATCATAAGAGATAGCATATGGCAAGTCCACTGCAAACCTTAAAAGCATTATGTAAATACTAGTTATTTTTTTTTAAAAGAAGAGAAAATCTTGGTGAAGTATGATTTTCATCAGAAAAATATATTACTATGGAAAAAGGTTTTGAAATTGAAAATAATTTTCATTGACAATGCAGTTGTAAATGAAATTCCTTAGTGAAAAGATCCCTACTATAATGAAGCCATAAGCCTAGTCCCTGGCCCTACCCCTTCAGTGACGATGAAAAATACTTAGAATAAGAATAGCAGTTTATATGGGTGCAGCATAACCTTCAAGGAATACCTTTGGACATCCATATTGTGAGTGAGGCGGCCAGCTAGTAGAACTGGGAGACCAGGGTACAAGTGGCAAATGGTTCTCTTCTCCCATACTGTCTCTGGAGCCAGACAGACAATTGTCACGGCCGTCCTGTGCGGATCAGCCTGCTCCTGAGGAGGCTGGCACATCCACGGGGAGAGGTCCCCCAAGCCAAGCGGCAGGGGAAACTGTGAACATGAACGACCACGACATGAGGCCTTACACCTTCAGGACACATCTTTGGCACCTTTCTACTGAGACAAAATTTAGGGATTTCACAGAGGAGGAAGCCGATGTGTCCTCAGCCATTTGTCCAAGGTCACAAAATAAAAAAATAATCTCAGAACTCCCTGAGGGTCAGATTCTAACCCACAGGAAATGTTGTGGTGTTTCAAAGATCCAATCTTCCTGATTAAGAGATTTAAAACCAACCTACCTGAAGAGGTAGCCTCCTACAGGAAAGTGTTCAGTGGCAAGAGTTTAACATTACCCCAGTCCCCAGTCTTAAAGGAACAGCTTAAATGCACCCTATGGAACTTTGTCCAAATGAAGGCAGAGCAGGTGAATTTAATTAAATAAGCATTTCTTTATATGTAGCGCTTTAAGATTTGCAAAGTGTTTGATATTTTATTTCATGTAATCCTCACAATAAGCCCGTGAGTTAGGTGCTGTTATTATTCCCATTTTATGGATGAGGAAATCGTGGTTAAATGGTTTTTCTAGGAGCACCCAGCTAGACTGTATCTGAGGTAGGTTTCAAACTCGCTTTCTCCAAATCCATAACTCTTATCTATGACACCAACCAGCTGTTTTGATTAAGCGCCCATTATGTTCCAGCCCTATAAATATTTCAGGGTGACATCAAAGGTTTTAGGATCACACAGATCTGGAAAGGACCTCAGAGATCATCTGGTCCAATTCTTTCATTGTATAGATGAGAATACTGAGGACTAGGGAGGTCAAGTGACCTGCCTACATACAAGGTAGTAAGTATCAGAGGTGAGATTTAAACCCAGAGTCAGTATTTTTTCTGCTATACTATACAACCAGCTCTTATCATTTCACTCATCATTCAATTCTCACTAACAGTGCTTTTTTAGAACAGCATCCATGAATGGAAGTACAGTCCAGATACAAACCCACAAAAAGACATTGGTTGGATGTACTTAAGTTGATGAGCATTGGGGTTGGGTTATGGTCTTAATAGAACTAGAAACATAGAATGCTTAGAAAACTGAAAGGGTCTTTAGAGATAATCTAATCCAATTCACCCCCTGTTAGTCTCACCTCCACATTTTTTTTAAGCAGAGGCAATTTGAGGCACAGGGAAGCCAGATCACTTGATCAAAGAACCATCAAGATAGTGAAAAGATAGGATGAGAACCCAGCTCTCTTCCAATATAAATGAACAAATATGTATCAAGCATTGGCTATATGCAAAGCTAGGTGCTGAGGAAACAGAATGAAAAATAGCCCTGCCCTCCAAGACTTACAGTCTGTTGGAGAGGTGGTGGTAATAAAATGTAGGTAGATGCATGTATGTGGGTGTATGTGTGATATGTGATATATGTGATCATTTGTGGAGGGAAAGTAGATGAACTACTTGGCTTCTGGTAGGCAAATGAGCTGAACCTTGAGAAAAGCCCAAGATTTCTAAGAGGTGCATGTGAGGATGGAACGCATTCCAGGTATGAGGAGTGAGGGGCTGGGGTTCGTGTAATCTGTACAAATTCAGAGGCAGGAGATAGAAAGCTGATTTTAGGAAACAGTTAGCAAGCCAGCTTCAGAACACAGAGTGCATGAAGAAGAAAATGTGAGATAAACTTAGAAAGGTATAAACTGGAATCAGAATGTAAAGGGCTCAAAATGCCAATTAGAGGAATGTGTATTTTATCCTAAAAATGAAGAGGAACCCCTGATATTTCTTGATAAATGATGCAACATCATTAGATGCTCTTTAGGAGGATAGATGAGAGAGGGAAAAGACTAGAACCCACAATAACAATTAGGAAAATGTTGCAAGAGTTCAGCTGAGAGATGGCAAGGGCCTGGATTAGGGTGGTGGCCAAGAAAGTAGAAAGAAGTGAACAGATGGAAGAGATGCTACTTCCCCTCCTTTCCTCCCATTGTCCCATGCCAAGCAGAATGACATCTTAGGATTTTGTAGCCAAAGTGAATGGGATGTTGCCTTGTTTGGGCAAAGACTTTAGGATGGGTGTGTATGTGGAGGGAGGGTAGTAAGGAGGAAGTCACTGGGATATGGGCTTCTTACTGAACCCCAAGACTTGTGTGAGAGGTTGTGTCAGAACTCTGATCAACCATGATTTCAGAACAGGGGTTCTTAACCTGGAATCCATGAATTTGCTTTTTAAAAAATCTTAATAACTATATTTCAATATAATTAGTTTCTTCTGCAATTCTATATATGCTATTTTAAGCATTTAAAAACATTATTCTGAGAATAGGTCCTTTTCATCAGGAACCTCTGCTGACCACAAAAGTAATTCATCTGCTCTCCTTCCTCAAACGATCACATATATCACATATCACACATATACACACATATCTACTTATGTTTTGTTGACACCACCCCTCCAGCAGACTGCCAAAAGGGCCCATGGCATAATAGGATTAAGAATCTCTGTTCCAGAGGACTGACAAGGAAGAATTTACTGCCTGACAGAGAGGTGTTATCCAGTCCCTTCACCATCCTGTTTATTATCCTCTGGAAACACTTTAACTGGTCAAATTTTTGGAGGGGACCAGAAGTAAGATTTCATCATTATAGAGAGTTTTCCAGTGAAGACCCTAACTGTACCAATGCAAATCTGCAAATGTTTTTCTTAGAAAATGCCTGGAACCTCAAGAAGTGAAATAATTTGCCCAAGGTCCCACAGCCAGTGCATGTCAAAGGTGAGACTTGGACCCATGTCTTTCTGACCCCAAGGCCAGCTCTCTATCTACTACACCCATGCTGCCTCTCTAGCTTGTTGGCAACCTTCCTAAAATGTGACACCTAGAACTGTACAGGATGCTCTAGATGACAAGGGGACAGCCAAACATCCACATCTCTTTTTCTGGGCACTGTGTTCTCAGGGCTGTTCAAGATCATGTTGGCTTTTTGGCTGACCCATCCCACTGTTCATTCATATTTAGGTTGAAGTCTGCTGAAACTTGCCAATTTTTTTAAAAAGTAAAACTGTGATCTATCCATGCCATCATCCTTTATTTGAGCAGAAGATTCCTTGAATCCCAGGGTAAGACTTTATATTTATTCCTAGTAAAGTTCATTTTTATCCTATCGAGTTGGTTGTTGTCCTTTGTTCTTGAAGATGACCAAAATGACATCACTATGATGGGGTCAAGATACAGCATATCTGACTGTGGTTGATCAGACCAATATAAGCTTGAAAGGCTCTACCACAGATTGGGCACAGATAGTCCATAGGAACATTTGGAGTGGAGATGGCTCCACATTTGAGCTATCACCATGCTGCTTTGCTCGTAGAGTATAACACCTTCTTTGATGTGGACATGCCATGCTGGATCATTCTATCCCAGTGTTTCCCATGTCTCACAATTGATTAAAAAAATTTCTCCTATTTACTGCAATGTTTATGACCAAGATCTTTTGGATGCTGTCTCTTATCCAATATATTAGCCCTTCCAGCTTCATATCATCTTCAAATTTGAGAAGGATGTCATCTATACCTAGCATCCTATTATCATTACTTAAAGATTAGGGGAAAGGACAGGGTTGTTTCTTGCTCCTCCTCCACTACCCAGTGTTTTCTTAGAGCAGTATCAACAAATCTAATAAAAAATCCGGGCCCATAATTATAAAAAAAGTCTTATTTTTATTGATGCCTTCTGTTTGTATAGTTCATTCATTTCCAAATATGTGTCTTCTTTACTTGGTAAGCCATCCTTTGTAACAAAGATTTTAAAAAGTCAGGAAAAAAATGCCTTCAGCCTATCACTAACAGTATATACAATATTCTGAACCCATAGTACCTTAGATCTGCAGTGAAGGGAGAGAGGTACATCTTCTCAACTTTTCTTTGGTGTCAAATTTGATCATTATAATCAACAGCATTCAGCTTCATTTCATGGTTATTTCTATTTCCTTTGTTGTAGAGATTGTGTATATTGATTTCCTGGTTCTTTTTACTTAATTCTTACTTAATGTTCATGTAAATTTTCCCATGTGTATTAGAATTCTTCATTTTCATAATTTCTTCTGCAATAGTAGTATTATATTACATACATGTATAATAATTTGCTGTTCTATTTCCCAGTCAATTGCCATGTCCATAGCCTATGCCACAAAAGCCCCAGGTTCTATCCCAATAAATTAACCTGACGCACTTTAACAACTCAAATAAACAGACCTTTGGCACCAACAGGGAATAATAATATGAGGGTTTCTTTCTAAATTGCAAATAACAGGAAATATTCATTTCTTTAGACTATCAAACTCTTGCAAAATATCTCTATTTTATCCCATGAAAAGAATCTATTGTTCCATGCCTGATAAATATCTTTACAGTCTGTTTTTTGTTCATTCATATCACTGTTTGGGGAAAGCTATTTCTGCAATAATTTCTACCCCCACCTCCCATATTTGAGTAAAGAAGTTAACTTCTTAGGTATACAGGCTCCAAATAGAACCTGGGAAGAAGAGAAAATAACTCAAGGGGGAGAGAGAAAGGAATTTTATAGAGGAGGGGGCTGAAGTTTCCAAGAAAGAGCAAAATGTTTTCATAGGATTTTAGGGTTGAAAGGGATTGTGGTGATCAAGCCCCTTAATCAAAGGTTCTTAACCAGGGGCCAGTAAATTTGATTTCTTGGTTTTATTTTTAATCGATTTTGATAACTTAAGCTAGGTGGTGCAGTGGATAGAGTGTTGGATTTAGAATCAAGAAGACATGAAATCAAGTCTGGCTTCAGATACTTACTAGCTCTGTGACCCTGGGCAAGTCAGTTAACCTCTGTCTATCTCAGTTTCCTCATCTCTAAAATGATGATAATAATAGCATCTACTTCCCAGTGTTGTTGTAAAAATGAGATATTTATAAAGTATTTTCCAAACTGCAAAGTGCTATACAAATGTTCCTCTATAATACTATGTATTTTATTTTATGCATTTTATTCTGAGAAGGAGTCTGCAGGGTTCACTAGCCTGCCAAAAGGATCCAATACACACACACAAAAAAGTTTAAGAACCCCTGCTCTAAAGAAAATAAGACCCAGAATATTAAACTGAACATAAAGGTATTAAGTAGCAGAACTTTGGGATTCAAATTCATATCTCTCTC